GGGGGGGGGGGGGGGGGGGGGCATTTAACGATGTTGCCAGCCCGCCGCCGGTCGCAATCGTGCACAGCTCTACAGATGGTAGTCCTTTGAATGTGTGTACACTCTCGTCCATTCATGCCGCGCTGCATTGTCGTGCATCACCCCCACGCACACGTGCAAAAGAAGAACAACCTTGACCGTTGTCTGGACATCGCGGTGTGAAAAAAAAAAATCTCCCCACTTCACAAGAAAACGCTCTGAACGACTTCACAACAAGCAGACAGGCCTGCCCACGAGGGCAAGGCAAGCAAGTGGACTCTGCAGTTTCACGAGTACCACGAGCACACCCCTTCAGGGAGGTTGATCAGAAACGTGACTCGTAGATGCAGAAACTTTAAGAAAAACACCTTGTGTACGACGACGCACGGGAGCAAATCCTGTGTTCCCATCACAGCTGGCGCTTGTATGCATATGCATAGCCAACGGAGGAGGTTTGGTGTCGAGGCACGCATTTTGGGAAACACATATCAATCTTGTCTTCATTTGACATCAAAGGCAACTTCCAACTATAAGATCACACATGTTCCGAATGCTACAATGTACAGCAGTACCTGTGGTAGCTAATCTGTGGAGACATGAAAGACGGCCCGATTGTGCCTCGAGCTGTTGCATATCATGAGCTGCAACACAACACTACGTGTCTGCTGCGATAGAAAACAACGACGACGCCAGACGCACGGTACACGACGAGCCGGCGCGCTGGTCGGTTACGTTCCAATTGCTTCCAAGAGACTGCTGTGCAGGAAGACTTACACAAATGTCTATCGGCCTCTCACATAGCTGTAACCTGCAGGTCCGTATGGATGTAAGAAGGCCCATGAGTAGCCCCCATCGGCCCCGCGTTAGAGCCGTACATCCAACCTTCAGAGTAGCTGCATCAGCGGAGACGAAACCAGGGCCAAGAAGGAGCAGTATGCAGCAGTAGTGCAAGTACAGCAGTAGTGCCGAGAGGAAGAGTGCGGAGGGTTGCCGATGAGTTTCGCGAGTCATCTGCGGAACACACCGATAGCCCCCACCAGGAGTTACATCCCTTGAGGGCCAAAAAAAGCATAAAAAAGGTTGTCAACAATGGCTACAAAACTTTCAGCAGAGGTTTTGGAACAATAGACCCAGTAATGCTCTGTTTTTACTGCGATGCGTACTTCTATGGGGGAGGTCGACAACGACGAACACATGACACCCGTAGTGGCGAATCTCTACCGCACCTCGTGCGCGCTTGCTCGTATTCGGTGTCGTCGAGAGAGTACTTGAAGGACTGCCCAGTCCCCACCAGCCACGCAGCAAAGAATGCAGCTCTCGCCATCTTCTTCGTAGAATCCATCACGCAGAACCCCCGCCCGCCAGCACGGTCGTGGATCACCTGAGCAACGGTAGTATACGTGTCTGTCCGCGCTGCACGCGACGAGTGGGTGATCGATGTTATCCCCCCGCTGCTCCCTCTCTGCCGACCCCCCTACGCGGATTTGGGCATGTTACCGTCTGTTGGGTGACGGTTTCAGATGAAAGTTGCCGGAGTACTTTTTTTTTTTCTTAATGTCACACAACAAATCCATCGTTTCGGTCGCGCTCGAGCAACGAATACCGACCCGAAACGACGTAATACTTTGGCAAGTTGAGATCTTTTCGCCAATAGACCGTAGAATCACAATCCTACGAGACCCTTAGTCCACGATGCTCCCCCCTCCGCATGGCGTCTGAGGTATTCGATTGCACCGCGAACGGCAAGCAATAATGTAGTATAATAATAGTCAATGTTGCGCATGTAGTGGCATCGTATACGGTGGGCCGATGGACTCCACGTTGGCAGTTTGTCGATGTGTGGTGCACGAGCAGGACAGCTCCGGCCACCAGCGGGATTATTGCATGGGCCCGAGTTTGAACATCAACTGTAGTCTAGAAGGTTATGCTACATACACGGCGAGTGCGCACATTGTAGGTTTCCTGTGAGTAGGCTTCCTGCAAAGTTGGTACGTGCCATAGCATACCCTCTGTCCTACGGTGTTGGTCAGCCCTGTTGTATACACTGGCTAATGTGCTGTGCACAGGGTCTCAACGAGTGTAGTCTTAAGTAGGTTGTGCAGAGTAGGGGCTCGAATCAAATGTGTCGCCATCTGGGAGGCCTCACCAGCGCTGAGCAAGATGGTGGTTGCGCTCATTATCGGGCACACGGGAACGCTCGAAGATTTGAACTGCTGTACATCCGTGGGGTTAGACATGCTGAAATAATGTCCAGCATCCAGCAAGTGTCCTTCAACAACGGTCGCCCCGGTGGTCTGGTAGTTAACCTCGTAAACCTATTGCAAAGTAGCAGCAGGTTGTAGGTGGGATATTTCTATATTATGGAGGATTTCTAAGACTGCATGTCAACGAGGGAAGGGACGGCGAACCCTTCTAGCGATGCAAACTAAGGCCAGTGCCGCGATAGGAAAGGGAGGGCCAAACAATCAGATGAGACACAAGCACAGTAGCATCGCCTGTAGACTAGACTATGAGACCGCCTGATTTTTTCAGAAATGGATACTCAAAGATGTGTACATGTAGACGCGTGCCAGAATGAAAGGAACAAACACAAACACACCCCGTGTTTTCAACCGCACTGAGACTGATGTCTTTCATTGGTCAGCCGGTTAGCGCGGTCGATGCTAATATTAAAGATACAAACCTCAAGCGGTGAGTCTTTCATTTTCTGGTGATCTTTCCAAAGAAACTCCGAAACTTCTGCTGCCGTGCTTTCTGCGCCTCTACAAAGTGGAATGCCAAACAGTTTGTGGTCATCAGATAGGCACATCGTTATTCCTTTTCGTGTCATATTGTACCCCGTGTTGTCTTCGGGTGTGGCAATCTCGACCCAGAGCCCGAAGAGCTTGCACAGCCTATCGCTATCAGCCTTTGGAAGAAGCGAGGGGGTGCGGGGAAAAAGCGAAAGAGGACGAGGGCGAGGAAGAGGAGTACGCGGGCCGGTACAGTCAAGGCGCTTGCCACTGCCATCGCCGCCAAGCATGCTGAAGCAGAGCCGCCCCTCGCCTACAAAGGGACAAAAGCTCCCCACTCTCCGTGCGGTAGGCAGTAGCAAAACCAGGAGCGGGGAAGCTAGCTCCAACAGCTGCAGCAGGCAGCGGCGCGTGTCAAAACGAGGAAGGGCTACTGATCGAGGTGACAGCCTATGGATGTTTTGTTTTCTTCGTCCGACACGGAGAAAACCATTCTAGGAAGGGAACACAGAAGCTACGGAAACAGAGCAAAAAGTGCCCGCTTCCCGACTCATCAAACAACATACTCGTATTGAGACCACCGCTTCACGTCCATAACATCGTGGTCAAATTTACAGAACAAACCGCAACGGACAAAAGCAATGGACCCAGCAATGACTCTCACCAATTCGCAAGGAATATCCCAGTTGAGCAGGAGAGGAGAATCTACGGCTGCAATGGGTCAGCAATGCTAGATTGCGGTCGCGGCCGCAGAGCCGAAGACGGCGATGAGTTCACCGCGTTGTCAGCCTCACCGCGCTCCGTCAACTCCGCCGACTCGTTCGGAACGCTGGCGTCAACCGGCGAGGAGTCGTTCTCTTTGGAATTGAACGACAACGCCAACGGAAGCTTGGCACAGGAAGGCGAGGCCGATGCTGTTGGTGGTAATAATGGTACAGCGGAGGCTGGAAGCGCCAGCAGAGGGCTGGGCATCGTCGGCAGGACGCTGTTTGACAGCTGGAAGGAATTCCTGTGGCAGGTACGCCTGTGCCCGATGGCTATCGAAGGGCAGGAGGTGGTTCGCAGGACCTCCGCTCTGAAGATGGAGATGACCGGCGGCTCGTTTTCGACCTCAAAAGGGTGCTCGGGTCTTTTCTGTGGTAACCTGTTGTTAACTTGGTTTCCAACCACAGCAAGTTTCTCTACACTGAACGTTTAAGATGGCGGGTGGATACTGGTTTAGGGTTGTCTGAGAAATACGGGGTGCTCATTGCTTTGCTGGTCGACTATTGTAGGATGGCAACCGAGCAATCAAAGGCGTGTCGCAGAGAGCCTCCGGTAGAGAGCTCTACCTTACGAGAAGCCGTGCACGACACTATTTTGAGCGATCAACATGCCGTCTTCTCCTGCGCGATGAAAAAGTTTAGAGCCTTCGGTTGCAATCTTGGAGACGGACGCAACAGCTTTTAGCTACGAGCGCGGCACGAGAGGAGGAACAGAGGATCTCGGGGTGGTGGAAAGGAGAAGCCGAGATACTGTGGAGGATACAATCGCAGCGTCGCCAGAGTCACGAGACGCTGGCGGCTCGTCACGAGGAGGAGCTTGCGGCTCACGAAGACAAGCGAACTGAGGTGCGACATCCGCGAAAAGGGAAATCAACTGTGATACCATCATCGTCGTCCAACCGAGTACTCTAGTCTGCACTGTCATGGGTAGGCAGCAATAATGCAGCGGCGGGCTTGGCATTTGTCAGGGCCCAGCATCCGACTCACGGCTGTGCAGCTGTGTGCTGGATATGTACGTGCAAGAATCTTAGGTCTGGGGGCCACCAATGGTATTTTTCTCGATCTCACCAGATCATGGTTATGCAGTCGGCCAAGGGTACACGTCTGTCTAAAGTCGTTGGAGACTCGGGGCGAGCGTCGGCGCGGTGGTTCTCTGCAGATAATAATGGGGTCGCTGCTGCAGTATAATAGACATAGCAGGGTCTACTGAGTTTTTCTTACGTCACCCTCGCCTATCCTCATTTCTGGCGAGTCGCTCCTCACTCATCGTTGTAGTATCGTGGTACCAGCGTATGCCCGTTTACAAAGTTAGGAAACAGCTGTGAACACTTCGTAGAAAAATGTTTTGCTGGTGACATTCAATCTGGTTCCGGCACGCACATTGACCTGTCTGCTGCAATTCTTCAGCTGCTTAGCAAGGGATGCGGCCGAGAGCTAGCGAAGCTCGATAGCATGGATGAGGCGAACCACCTGGAAAGCCTGCGGCAGGTAGAAACGCTGTTTTCGTTCGCCGTTGGCGGCAGAGGAACCGTAGAGGAAACGCGAGAAACCACAACTCCGAAAGCGGGAGTGACAACCGGTACCGCCGCGGAAGGGCTTTTCACGGTGGCGGCCCCTGGCGCCCACGCCACGCCTCTTGGCACCACCCTACGAACAAGCGCACGGCCGCCCGGAGTGCCAGACGGAAGGGAAAAAGAAGAAGGAACGCCTGCGGGAACGAAAGAACAGCAGCGGCAGGAGCAGCAGCAGCAGGAAGAGGATGAGGAGGCTCGGGTTGTTCAGGAAACCGCTGAGGCCGATTGTACAGAGAATTTTTCCAGCCACCTGCAGCTGGAGCTAGAACGAGTCGCCCTCCACGAGTCCGTGATGAAAGCGACGGCGGACAAGTTTCGCCGCCGGCGGCAGAGCCTCGCCGTTATCCTGTGGTGCGGTCTGACGGCGATGTACCGGGATTGCAGGGCCAGGGCCCGGCGTACCTTCGTGTCGGAGTGCGCCGCAGATATCGGCAGAATAAAGCAGCTCGCTTCTTCTCCTTCCTCCGGTGGTGGCAGCACCGGCGAAGGACAAAACTGCCCTCTTTCTCCTCCTCCCCCTCTTCCTCCTCCTCCCCCGGCGGGTGGAACAGAAGACGTCTTGAACGAGTACTGTTGTATCAGTAGCGACATTTTATGTAGTTGCGGGGAAAGCGATAACAGCATCAATAGACCTAGTGGGGTTGACGTCACCGATTCGTCACCAGACGTCCAGGACGCGCTCAGAAAAACAACCGCGACGATAGAAAGGCCGGGAGTGGCGGGGCAACGCGAGAGAACACGAGCGACGCGAGAGCTTCGTAGTGAGGCCAGCCGCGTCGCCCGATGGGACAAGCTCCAGCGAGAAGTCTTGCGGAGGAGCACCTACGAGGTCACTAGGCTCCTAACCTCCGACGGACTGCGCCGACACGATGGCGGCGGGTGGCCCTACTCTTGGCGACAGCGGGGTGACCGCCGTGGCGGGGACGACGGGGTAGCGAAGTCTACACTGGTACGCATGCAACGTTGATGAGATACGCCACGGGCTTGAGGTATCGTCGTTGGCAGCAAGTCCCTTTAGGACCCGCACACTTGGTTTGGGGGAGGATTCAGACGGGATGACGATGCGCACCCTCCGTCGTCCACGTATCCTGCTCGCCTTCCATAGCGCCAGTGGTAATGCATGGTACATTCTGGGTGGGTGTGCAGAGCAAAACGTGTGGGAGCGTGTCCGTCCGCGAAGCTAAAGTTGATGGAAAACGTTTTAGAACTGATTCGTATCCCCCTCGCAATCGAAACCGGGATTCGTCGACAACAACGGTACACAACAGTCGACCACTGCACACGGTTTCGGTCAGGTTCATCCCACAGGCGTTCTCCGACTTATTTCATTAGGCCGTGCACAAGCGTGCGAGACTTTCCATGCGCGAGCTGAGGGGGCGGCAGGCGGACGTGTCCTTGGAGGCAAGGAGCATCGAGCGGTCCTGGATAGTGTCCCTGGCCAAGTGGGAGGCCCAGCTGGTCAAAGCTCGCGCCGCGGCAGCTGATGCAGAGGTTCGGGGATTGCGGATCCTGCAACGGGAGGACGCGGAGGTGGGGGGAAGGGGAAGGGGAAGGGTACCTGTAAACATAGATTATTGACCACTGACGACGCGGCTCAGATGAGGCGGTACACTGTTACCATTTCCCCACCTTGCAACCTTTTAAATGTCCATTGCTCTCCACGAAAGTGCGAATCTTCTCGGAGCGTGCAGTATGCTGCGGGAACTTGTAGAGGATTCGCGACGGCGGCGTCTCCGCACTGCGCAAGATTGGAGAGATGAGGTACGGCTCTCGCGGACGATGCTAACCCCAAGACGCCATCCCCCCCCTCCCTTCTCGCCCGTGCCCCCAAACCCGTGACCGTTGCCGTGACGAAACTAACTCAAAGGACGCATTTTTGGACGATGAAATTTGAGCCGCCGGAAAGATCTGACTAGATACTCTCCACAGGCACCACCGTTGTCCATGCCGTGAGAGTGCTAGATGCTCCGGTTTTGTCAAAAATGGGCGAGAAGATGGGCGTTGCCACTATTTTTCTGGCATGGGTGCGCTAATGCAAAGGTATTGCGAACTGTTGGCGACGAATCAACGATAGTGGGCACCCAATTACGACGATATGAGATCAAAGCGGCCGTGATTTGTCGACCCTCACTCTCCGCTCGGTGGTTGAAGCTACATTTGACGACGACATCCGCGCTTCATACTCTGACTTGTGACCATGGCAAGTAGGCTCGAATATCCACGTATGATCAGAATGCGCGTGGGTACATCCGGCAAGGAGTCGGAGCGTATTGATATATAACAACAACCGCAGCAGCAGAAATATCAACAGCGCAGGTGGGTCGCGCGTTCAGCACATCTCCCAATATGGTCCCTCCCTCTCTTCAACAACAAAATCAACAGACGGCCAGAGCGCTCGAAGTATCGCAGTCGCTGGCGGACGTGATCGACAGAGAGCAGGATCTAGTCGATGACGCCCAGTCAGCCCTCGTTGTGGACCTGGCGAAGATCGTCGCTGACGAGAACGCGAAGAGAGCCGAAGCCGCGGCCGTCGCTCGGCGACACTGGTGGGCCGAAGCCAGGGAGATCCTCCTGGACCTGTTCCATTCGGTGCACAGCAGCAATCGGAACGATCAAGAGCGCGGCGGCGGCTGCGCCGACGTTGACGTCGGTATCCATGGTAGTGGTTCTGCCACCGAGAAGCCGGCCGCTACGTCATCGGCATCCCTGCAGCTTATCCGGACTAGCCTGGACGAATTGCTCCGCGCGGAAGAAATTCTAGTCGAGAAAGCTGCGAAAGACTTCCTCACTGCCGTCAACGCCGATGAATACGGTGGAGGAGGAGGAGGCCCACTTCACGTCGCGGCGGCGGAGAACCAACGGTCCACCAATGAGGTACTAGATCGATGCACGAAAGCTTTCGAAGCCGCTAGCTTTGACCCGTCGACCTCGACAGTCGGGCAACCCACGCCGGTGAATCTTAATCAGTGGTCAACGGAAGGAGGCAGCAGCAGCGGCCGCCTTGGTGGGGCACATAATCCCGAAGAAGAACTAGCCTCTTTTCGGGGTAGACTTGAGACGGACGCGGTCCAGCTAGCGGTCGCGTCTTTTGATATGGAGGTTAGGGAGTTGGCGATTGACGCTGCAATCCCAGTGGCTGCATCAGAGGCGGTGATGCCGCCGTGTTTTCCGGGAGCACCATCAACGATGTTGGAAATCGAAGGCAAGGGGTCACCGCCACCGTTTCCGCTGGATGGCCGACCGCCGTCAAGCGACCTAACAAGGTCGCACCTCGATCTCAGGCGGGTTGCGAGAGTCAAAGCCTTTGCGAGAACCATGGAAGACATGTTGTCCACAGCACGTAAGGCGATTCTTAAGGAAACCCAAAGGTGAGATTTTTCTTGACTACCGCGGCAATAGTTCCGGAAAGTGGGCTGAATAGCTCGGTCACACATTGAAGGAGAACTGCTGTTGCCCAACTATCTCCCCGATTACTTCCCTCGTCACACGAGCTCCTTCAACATGCTGTAGCCTAAGGGAAAGGAGATGGAACCCCATCTCCTTGAATTTTCTTTCTCTGTAGATCCACCCGTTCTTCCGTCCTCGAATTTATACTCTGGATTTGCAGACCGACAGAATATTCAGCGTCGAGGCGACGGCGGTTTCCTTAACAATAACAACCTTAACAGCAATGTCGTCTTCGTTTGTTGTGATTCTGTTGGAAACAGTGTACACTTGAAATTAGAGCCCCGGGCAGAGGCTCTGTGGTTGTACAGCATGGAGTAGGCCACTGCGTGGTGGCACCACTCCGCAACCGTACCTCTGTTTGACAGGGATTTGCAGCGGAATATTTTGCCTGAAACATCTGTCAGACAGCTAACGTAGTGCCGGAGTCACCAGCTCCGGAACAGTCCACGTCACCGTACCGGCAAATCTCGTGTGCGGGGAGACTTTTTTCGAATGGTTAAACCAAACGCGAAAAACGGCGGTGACGATGACGAACACAGGCGGCGACGGCTACCGAGAACGACTACAATCTCAAGGTCTCCTCGATCATACCCCGCAACTCTGGGAAGATCGGCCATTTGAGGACCGAAGCGCAGGCGAAAGGGGACAAGGCCCTCGAGACCGCGCTCAACGAGGCCGAGACCCTTTCCGAGGAAAGGTCTTGGAGATCGAAAACGGCAGCAGCGATCCGACGGCGGGCGTTGGGATCGGTTGTGAGTTGGGTCGGCGCGGCAGCTGATGCCGAGCTCCGGAGATCAGAACGGCGTCAACGCAGGCGGCAGCATCACCAACATCGAATTAGAGGTACAAGTCACAACGTTGTGCCTCATTGAACGCGATCAACAACTTGTAGTGCAGAGGATACGATTGTGCTTCTCCCCCGCGCGCCCATGTTATTGTACCCAGTGTGGCCTTCGACCCTCCGCTTTCGCGGATTCATGTGCGTCATGCCAACACTACAGACCTTGGCAGCTTCTTTCAAAAACATTGAGCGCTTTGCCTTTGATCAGCGACATGGTAGTGTGGCCTCCAACCCCCCGCTTTCCCTGATTCATGTGCGCCATGCCAATACGAAAAAACTTGGCAGCTTCTTTGGAAGACTTCGAGCGCATTGCCTCTGAAGAGCAGCAGGACTGGCTGCGTCAGGTGCGAAGACGGGGACATGAAGCGACAGAGGTAGCGAGAGCAACGATCTCGGACCACGTCGCGGAGCTCATCCTTCATGAGCCGCAGCGCGAACAAGACCAAGAAGGGGGATACGAGGCATTGCCGATGGCGGCTGATACTCCGAGAGATCTGAGCTCGCTGCAAGATCGTTCCAGTAGCGCTGGAGAAGGGACTACATGCAGTACCGACGACAAGGACAAACCCGGCGAGCAGGGCAACATGGAACAGGGCGAACAATCAATGGCCTTGAACCACCCTGCACTGGTAATGAATACCGTTGCCGTTGCTGAGGGTGTCAACAGGGATCATGTCGACGACCACCACAGCGGTAGAAAATTTCCGCAACCGCAGTTCCAGGGTGCTAAACGTCAGCATGTCGCCAACCAGGATGACGATGGTGACGTGTTCGTCGATCCTCCGTCACTCGAAGGTCTCCGAGTCGAAGCGATGGCCGTTCTGGCGGCCGCAGAGGCTTCGTGCATATGCGATATCGACGCGTGGGTAGAAAAAACCCTACGTCGGGAGCTGGAGATGATCTCGGCTTGGATGGCGGAAACCGCGTCCGGTGATGTCGAAGAACGGGACATGACAGAAACTGAGCTCGAAACCTTAGAGTCGGCGTTTCGTGCCGCTAGGACGGATACCGACGAAGTCGTCTCTTCAGCTTGTTGTGAGGCTTACTCGTTGCGGCCGTCGGGTGTTTCTGGCGCGGGTGCAGCACCCAGCGAAACGGAAGAGCCGGCTAACCCGGAACCGGACGCAACTATCGGTAGCACTGAATTCGCGGCACCTGGATTTTTTGCGGAGGAGGAAGAGGAATGTTCCGCCCTTTGGTCGAGCTTGGAACGGTCTCTATCTTCGCTAAAGCTCGCACTGAAGACGATACCGGCGGGATCAGGCGGGTCACGCAAGGACGAGAAAGAGGGAGAAGAAGGGATAGAGACCAAGCTGGCCGCCTCCCGCATCATCACCGGCCTAGAGTGCGAACTGAGAGCCGTCGTCACCGATACTTTCTCGTCGACTGGGCAGGTGGAGGAGGTACAGTCAATTATTCGCGCGAGCAGCGACGAGCTCAGGGTGGCTTTCACCCTCATAAGTGAGGCGACGCAAGCGAAGTGGAAGGTGAGAGACCTGGAGCTGGTGGAACGCGCGAGAATCGAACCTGAGGAAGCCCAGGAAGCGAAAGCACTGACTTGGAGAACGCAATCAGAGCCCGCCTGCTACGGCGGCGGAAGGGAGGGTGACGGACGGTGAGAGAAGAAACGACTTTGTGCCTGCCAGCACATTGGAGATCGCGAGAGAGGATTGTGGCGCGCCTGACGGCGGCATCGGCACGGAGTGACAGGCGTGTCAACGAGGCAGCCGAAGAAGCCGGAACGAAGTCAATTCAGTCCCAATAGCTCATTCTAGCGTTGTGAAGAGAATATTGTGTTAGGTTCTCCGTATTGGGTGAAGGGACATGGGCACCGACGCCTGGTGAAAGTTTCCTTATGACAATTTGTTCCCTTCTCACGTAATTTCAGATCGTCCGTCAGGTGGGGTGTGGTCCTTGGTTTTGCTCAAGTGTGTGGGTAAAGAGTTGGAAGTATTTTTGTTTTTTCCTGTCTCCTGCATGCACTTCTCAATGTGGTACATATATTTATCGAATACATTGAAGAAATCATTTCTGATTCGAAACCATTCCCGAGGCAAGTTGTCCCACAGGTATCAAACGACAAGATTTGGTCGATGGAGATTCTGTCCCCATGAAGACCAGTGTGATAGACAGGGTTCTGGAATCCCTTTCGGTGATTTTCTTCCCAATCGAAGCCCTTGAAGCCAACAAGGAAAGCAGCAAGTAACACCACCAACTCTTGCGTCGGTGAGATGTGCTCAAAAACATCGTGCGTGTTGGTGAAGGTGTAGCTGTGACGTTCTCGCTGTCGCACACAACGGTTTTCGTTGTGCTTTGCTACTGAGGGCGGTTCGCATGCGAAGATTCGACGTACCGGGGGGATAGGCAGTCGAGCAAACGTATGCGGAAGCTGCTTGGTTGTGCTTTGTTTGCGTCCTCGTGAGTACATCAGAGATATGTTCTCCTGTTGCAACTCAACAAGACTTCCACAGAGGTTTTGCGTGACCGCTCGCACGTTCCCAGCAATGACTTCAGCTTTTTCTTAAGACCGGCGCTGCCTCATATCTGGGCTCTCGCTAGAAACGCTGGCATGTCGACAAACACACGAGAACCACGGCCCTCGGCAAAGCCCCACACGTATACCCACATCGCAGATGTCATGGTTCAGCACACGATACGATCATTCACTCGATGCAACGAAAAGGAACAACAATTGGTGCCCTTCGCCTCAGCTCATCAATGCATTGTTTTAGGTTCGCCTGGAATGGGGAGGTCAGGATACGGAGATTCAGGGTGCAAAGATACACGTACATAAAGAGTAGAGTCTGAGGGAATATGTGATAATAGATTACCGTTCCCCGAGGGCCCATGGCTCTTTCTACTCCCAACGCCTGCCAAAAGTTGATGAATCTTAAGGAGGATGGGAAAATGAGTCCATGAAGGCTCGCCCGCTCTCCGCACCACCCTAGCTTGACTGTGTTCGCTCAGTCACGCTTGGCATTCCTCGCCACATGGCACCAAAGGAAATAGCCAACCTCCGGTGGCAGGACATATCCACCACACTCCCGGCGTCTCCGCTCACTCACCCAGAGTGGAGGTTTCCATAGGAAAGAAGAAAAAACGCTCGGGCTCGCCCTAGAAACCCCGAGATTTACCGCACTGTATGTACCTGATCCAACACCAACGTGTGGGACGATAGCATCACAGACACAACGGCCTTGCCTCCCTTGAATCAATGGTCCTATCTCTCCCTTTGCACCCCGAAGTGGAACGGAATCATACTATATTTCCTCTTCTGACGGCCCCCGGCCGTCATGCGTCATGCTCATGGCTGGGGGTAAACCACGTTCTTCACATAGATTATACACAACAACCCACCCTCCCCAATCAATCCAGTCCCAACACCACAACAAAAGCAGGCGTTCTGCAACTCATCCCGTCATCCGTTGATGCCGACGTGATATGTCAAGCAGAGCTGCTCCTCCGTAGTGAATGGTGGTGGTACCGGTTCTTGGTGGTACCGGTTCTTTGTCGCGTGCCGAGTTCGCGGCGCAATTGCTCGGGCTTACACTTCGCATCCGTCGAAAGACGAACTCGAGTGCAATTGCACGCAACACTGCTGTCCTGGGTCCTCCACCGGCCCTGGAAAAATGTTGTTGTTCCTCCTGGTACTACTGTATTGTAGAGGTTCCACTTCATTTGTTGCACGTGTCACGCGTGCGTGCCTGTCTTTTAGGCGATGGTTTTTGAAACGGGTCAGAGCGTTTTGGCTAGGGTTTGATGTACAACATGTCTATCCGCAATCAGTCGATTCACATTCATCACGTAATTGATACACCTTCGCACTTTGTTGCGCGTAAACGCGACCAATTATCAACAATACTGAAGGGGGAGGGAGAGGCTCGATTTTCACTCCGTCCGCCCGGTCCACACCACTTTCAACCTATCTATGTATATTCCCGCCAAGGTTGGGTATCCGTCCTGTTGCTTGGTTCTTCAAATGATAAAGAACAGCGAGTCCGACCTCCAACGCGGGGTTCAACTACCACGATCACCTTGCCAACACGCACGCACGCACTCTGTTATTGGGACCATCACAATGAGAAAATACGGACGAGCATGGACCCATGAGGAGCACGGACAGGCCGGGCGTTTTAGTAGATAGGTGTATGTATGAATACGTCCTGTAGTGTGTACCAAGCAGGGAACGAGCAACCCCATGAAGACTACTTGAACGAAAAAAGAGGGGAAGATGGAGGAAAAGGAGGGGTCGGGCAGCGCGTAGGATAGCTGAGAGAGCAACGCGCGCAGCGCGAAAGAGACAGCAGGTCAACTTATTAGGGTGGCAACCTGGAATGTGCGGACTAGGCTGTAAACGGGGCCATTGGATACGGGCGAGCCTATAGCGTTCTACACGAGGCAGCGACACAAGACGTGTCGGTGGTAGGAATGCAGGAGACACGGAGGGCAGGTTGAACGGAATTTGCAGCAGCGGGTTTCCGGGTGTTCTGCAGTGGCACGCAGGCTGGTGGAGTCCATGGTGTGGGGATAGCCGTCAAAGAGTCACTGTGCAAGACATCCACGTTCACTACGGAGTTTATCGACGAACGCCTTATGGCCATGAGGTTTCTGTTGGCAGGCCACCGTGGAGCGGTCAACTTCGTAACCGGGTATGCTCCAACCGAACCTTCAACCGCCGACAGCAAGCGCGTGTTCCGAGGAAAACTTGACAGTCTCGTGCGGAGGATCCCTTCCAAAGAATGTGTGTATGTCCTAGTGGACGCCAACGCGCGGACGGGAGATAGGTGGGACGGAGGGGACTGAAGGGTAATAGGAATGTACGGGCGTGATAAGCTCAACGACAATGGCATGCTACTGTTGAATTTCGCAACGGAAAACAGGCTAGCTCTCACGAACACGTTCTTCGAGACACGCAAGGGCGGAATATGGCACACATACAACGGTGTGTCGAGAAACGATTACATACGCCCTGACTACATCCTGACAAGGCAGGCACATCATGGCCGAGTATCTAACGTGGTCGTCATCCCCCAGCCGGTTCGCCCAGTCAAAGCAGACTCAGACCACAATATGGTAGTAGCCACCGTCAACCTCGGTGGCAGGTTGCCTACAACCGTGCAGTCCAGACTAAACCGAAACAGAAGCAATTTAACCGACGGGAAGTGCAGTTCGAAGCAGCACGGTGTGCGGTGACTAATCGGTTCCTCCTCAACCTCGACACACGACTGGACGAGCGAACAACCACCGCCGCGGAATTGGCGACCGACTTTACCCATGCTCTCCTCGAAGCAGCGCGGACGATCCTGGGGGAGGAACCGCGGAGACGCCGCACGCAGGAGTGGTGTGAGACTCCAGACAAGAGAGCAGCGCTGGAGCAGGCCCTTACCAAACGTCGAGAAGCGCGCCGGGCGATGAGGGGCAACTGGAACTCAGCAACGCGGAGGGTTCTCAAAGCAGCGTGTAAGGGAGTGGCTACAGCAGTCGAAACGGGCAGTTATGCCCACCTGGACGGATATGTGACTGAACTCGAAGCAATCTACAAGATCGTGACATGCGAGAACTTTACCAACACCTCAAGAGATCAGTGGGCTTCAGCGGGAGACAAGCGGGGGGACAGCACTTCGTCGCGGATGAGAACGGCGTGTTTCCGGAACAAGGACGACATCCTCCAGCGGTGGGCAAGATTCTTCAGCACCCTACTCAACATCAAATCCCCAACCCTGAACCCAAACATCATCGAACGAGTGACGCAGCGGTCAGCGACACGTGACACTCAACGGNTCCGGAACAAGGACGACATCCTCCAGCGGTGGGCAAGATTCTTCAGCACCCTACTCAACATCAAATCCCCAACCCTGAACCCAAACATCATCGAACGAGTGACGCAGCGGTCAGCGACACGTGACACTCAACGGTTGGGTGATGTGCCAGAACTTGAGGAGGTGGCACGGGCAACGAAAGGCCTGAAGAACTGGAAGGCACCCGGTCATGACCCCCTCCCTGCCGAGTTGCTCAAGATCGATGACGACGAACTCTTCGTCCTGGGACACCTCCTTACCATCCTCGCCAAGGTGTGGAACGGAGGAGATATTCCGCGAGAGCGGAAGGATGCAACCATCAAGGTGCTGTACAAGAAGGGTGACCGGTCCAACTGTAACAACTTTAGGGGGATTTCGCTACTATCTCACGTAGGCAAGGTCCCCATCAAGATCATCACCAACCGTCTAAGCGCCTTCNCAATCTACAAGATCGTGACATGCGAGAACTTTACCAACACCTCAAGAGATCAGTGGGCTTCAGCGGGAGACAAGCGGGGGGACAGCACTTCGTCGCGGATGAGAACGGCGTGTTTCCGGAACAAGGACGACATCCTCCAGCGGTGGGCAAGATTCTTCAGCACCCTACTCAACATCAAATCCCCAACCCTGAACCCAAACATCATCGAACGAGTGACGCAGCGGTCAGCGACACGTGACACTCAACGGTTGGGTGATGTGCCAGAACTTGAGGAGGTGGCACGGGCAACGAAAGGCCTGAAGAACTGGAAGGCACCCGGTCATGACCCCCTCCCTGCCGAGTTGCTCAAGATCGATGACGACGAACTCTTCGTCCTGGGACACCTCCTTACCATCCTCGCCAAGGTGTGGAACGGAGGAGATATTCCGCGAGAGCGGAAGGATGCAACCATCAAGGTGCTGTACAAGAAGGGTGACCGGTCCAACTGTAACAACTTTAGGGGGATTTCGCTACTATCTCACGTAGGCAAGGTCCCCATCAAGATCATCACCAACCGTCTAAGCGCCTTCTGCGAAGCCAACAACATCCTCACGGAGGAACAGTGCGGATTTCGACCCGGGCGATCCACCGCCGACATGCTGTTCGTCGTGCGCCGCCTCCGGGAGCTGGGGCGGAGAAAGAAAATACCGCTTTACATGTGCTTCGTCGACTTGAAGAAGGCGCAAGATTCGGTGGACCGAGAGATGCTGTGGAAGGTGCTGGCCAGGGCCGGGATTCCCGCGAAGCTGATCAAAGTCATCCGCCAATTCCACGATGGAATGCTGGCCCGGGCGCGCATGGACGACGGAGAACTATCGGACTGGTTCTGTTCGTGAGTCTGCGAACATTGCTGTTGGATACATGTGCTGGATGATTTAGTGTCACGCAGACTGGTAAGATAACCGTTTGATAGGGGGCACCGCGATGATTCACGGGGCCCCTCCTTGCTGTGGGAGCCGCTCTTTGAGCACTCCCNCGCGCATGGACGACGGAGAACTATCGGACTGGTTCTGTTCGTGAGTCTGCGAACATTGCTGTTGGATACATGTGCTGGAT